GCCAATGAAAAGACGGCATTTAATCATTCCTCGGTCCGCGAAGCATTTGAATGCACCCGTGTCAATTTTTCAACCGGCCGACCACGCATTCCGACCGCGAGGGGCTTCGCTTTCGTCGGCGATTCTCCAGCTCCTACTAATCGGACAAAAAAACAACTTACACCATTGTAACGAGGAAAAGCTGAACTTTTATAAGGTGTATGGCACTTGGTGTTTTATAGCGAAAGAGCAAAGAAACAGCGATCAGAATTACCCCGATTTCACCGATACCACGCGGTCGGAAGGCCGCGAGTGCCCACGAGGCCGTGTTTACGCTACCTACTATAATGACAAATTTTACTTTGGGTCCAAAAAATTAACTTATTGTTCTTTGTGAATCCCATCGACGTTATGTCATTCACATAACGTCGATGGGATTCACAAACCGGCTACATGCAGAAAGGCAAATTTTACAGGAGGGACAAAAAAACGATTATTGTTAAAACGCACAGCGCACAATCTTTCATATTTTTATACAAAAGGTTGAGTTATAAGTGTTGGGACCAAATACTACTTGATTTTTCTTAAATACCACAACCGATAGTTTTATTTCGCATGTAGCCGGTTATGGAATCACAAAAAAATCTTAATGAAAGCTGTCTGGTTCAAACTGGGTTTGAATCTTAACCTGGTCGATTCATACACAAAATGTTTTAGATTAGAATGACAAGTTTAGTGCTTTGACTGGCCCTTTGTCTGTAAATTAATTAACCCTGGTTACTGGGAGGTGTGGGTTCAAACTTTGTTACCTGTCGATTCATGATGAAAATTTTAATTAATTTAATTTAACATCCTAGCTGCTCTCTCGCCTAGTATTTTACATTAGGTTACCAGTACTAGAAGTCGTCGACCAGGTGTCTGAAGGCCAATACATGTACTTGAACATGTGCAATGGTTAAGGTTCAATGCCCTATCAACACTATTAGGTTATTCAAGAGGAAGGGGAGGGGGGGACTATATCTGCCTTTGTGGAACTTTAGCTGTACTACGTGAAATGTCCCAATGTGCCAGGTCATCAATTGTTTGACTAGAATTGTTGATAAGAAGACATCGCTGTGTTTACAAAAATATCAAACAAAAACCCAAACCAACACAAATTAAGTTGTTGAAAAAGCCAGGACAAGACTTTTTAAAAAGCATTTTTCTGAGAAACCTCCACTTTTGTTCGATATCCCCCAAGGGCAGGGCGTTGGTATGGCAAATTTTGGTCTTGGGGCTCTAATCTGGATCGGGAGGTTATGGGTTCGGTTCTCGGCTGAATTATAATAACATTTAAAACTTGGTCCCTTTGCATCTTATTGTCTGGGGCGTGATTGAAAGAATATTAGTATCGTTTGATTGCACATAGATGGGCTCATTTCTTCCTGTGCACTATCTTTCATCATTTCTCACGCTTGAATTCCTACATTATAATAAAAAATGAAACAGTGTAAGCTACATAGACGACAAAATCACATTTGAATTCCATGATTGTAAGTCTCTACTTTCCCTATGAGCAATGTTCAGTGCTAGTCAGTTGACAGAGCGTTGTAAAATGGATGGTAGTCAACTGGCATGACCTCTTACATCGTTTGGACATTTCTCCGTTTTTCATATTCCTGGAGCTAGTGTAGGCAGGCGTTGGGTCAACCAGCTCCCACTTTGGTTGGTTGGACCTCTTGGGAGAATTTGGTGGGGCTCACCTCCCTGACTCATCAGGATACACCTCCTGTCCGTCACCGAAGAGTCCCCGACTCTCCTGCAGGGTTGGAAATGGTCGGACATGCTCTTGTAATCCTGAAAGTCGTTGGTGTTGCAGATATTTCCCATGGTATGGATGGGGTTTGAGCGTGATGACTGTGTTTTATGGACATACTGGGCTGACACATAGCAGGGAAGTCTTCAACCTCCTCTCGATATAATTGAGCTCGGAAACCCACTTTTGTTTGTAAGATGCTCCTTTTCTGGTATTCTTTGTTCAATTTGAACCCTGTTTCTAGCACAAAAAAGAAGCAGCTTAGGTATGTCCAATCATCACCGTATAGAGTTACTTTTGGCAGCCAGGATTCCTTTCAGAAAGTTGATTATGTACGTTGCAAATTCGTTCTGTCTCAGCCCACCACATCGTTCTCAGCAACGTTGTAGTACGTAAAAAGATGCGCCGATATTTTAATCTTGTACTACAGAGAAGACGCATTGCTTCTTAAGGCCAAAGGAACAGCTGGCACGTCCATTCAACACCAGAGTGTTTTTCATCTTTACCTAAGGACTTGATGGCTATTTCCTTGTCGGCTGTGGCTTTCTGTTTGTTCCTTCACACTTTCAATGTTTCAACCAAGCATGTTCATGCACGTTGCCACAATAATCACGTTAACATCGCAACAATACTCACAAGGATAGAACAGAGCCAAGTTGAGCTCGTCGAAAATTTGCTTCACCAGAGGGAGCGTTGCTTCATTTCTGTATACTCTGACGTGTAGAGCCATTACACGTCAGCAAAACTTTGGAAAGGGGCCTCAAGGTACAGCTTAGTTGAGCCATACAGTAATGTAATGATAGTCGTGATAACTTGTTGAAGAATCCCTCAACACTGAGGATACATCGGCCACGCGTGCATTCATGTTTGACTGCTCGTTTATCGCCCAGTTCCTAACACATCATGTTCCAAAGTCCGATGGTTGACATAATAAACAACTGTCAGCAAACTTTCTCCGCAAACTGTCTGCTACGTTGCTGAAAATACCTGATGATGGAACATTACCCTTAAGTTGGGTTAAAATTAAAAATACATCCCAAAACAACTGTAAATTACATGGAATAAGGTTTCATTCATAACCATTATGACACACTGTCACGTTCATAATAAAATATGATGACAATCCATTATGACAAGCATATTTTTGCCTCTTCTTCGCTTCTCTTTTGAGTCATCAGCACGATACTCTTCCGTGTTTAATCCACCATGTAAAAAGATGTTGTGAAACAGTGGGAAGTCCCTCACATGATATTTTGCAGAAATATCATAAAGTGTTTGTTCATAACATTATGACAAACCTGGATTATCTCAATCAAAGTCATATTAAAGCAAAACCATGCGACGGAGCGGAAAATTACCCTTCTGATGGATCAATGTCAAACCAATGTTTAATACTGATCATTTCTGGGGATGATATGTGTAACGATTTGGGTTTTCTAGACCTTGGAAAGTCTGATGATGTAATTATGACACAAGTTATGAGCGAACTTATAAATTTTACTCTGCAATAACATCATTAATATTAAAAAATTAAACCCTTATAATGGACACACAGTGTTATGATGGTGTATACTAAATATTTTCAATGTTTGAATGCACTACTGTTTGATAGTTTAAGATTAATAATATTCTATATTTAACATTCAATTACGTGTGCACTCAAGATGAGTAAGAAAAATGCCCTATTTTTAGTACTATATTATCTGTCTATGAAGAGATATAAGATGCACACATTAATCTACTTGCTCATGCAGCTTGACCAACTTATTTCCTTGCCATATGCATAATGTTTTCAGAAGAAAACATATTTTTCCATGAGCAGTGGTTGATTTAAAATGTCCTCATGCAAACACCCCCACCTTTTGGCAAAGGCTCGATGGTAAAACAAACACTGAGTCACCACCCTTCGGAGAACGAGCGACATTTCTGTCGCAAGTTCACGTCGACGTCCATTGTTACTTTGGTACAGATTAGGTAAACTCAACAGTGACCAGTCACCTCACACATGATTTGTTCATGAGTTGTAGGCGGGGCTTATAGGTTATGACGGATCACCCGCTTCCCTCACCAGCAGTTGAAAATTTATTGTTTCCCCATTGGTCAACTTCTGTAAACATTCACTGGAGGGACTAACACTAACGACAGGTGAATGGACTATGACGGACTGTCCACGGCATCAGAGGCCGATTTAGAATTAACAACGAAGCATCGGGCAAGTGGAGACCACACCTGGCCGCCTGAGGCGGGTAAATTTGGCTGAAGATGGATAAAATAGGGTGGCCACGGCCGGGTTGGACAGGTGACCGCTAAAGCCAGTTAAAATATATAGAAACAGCTCAAGGGGGGAATGGAAAGTGTCCGTCTGTACAGGTGGCCGTCATGGCAGGTTCCACTGTATAGATATATACGGTATCTTAAGTCATTTTCCCCCTATTTTTGTGTATGTTCTGTGTTGCAGATTTTCATCTTAGTCGGTGGTTGGCAGGTGCTCAGGTGTGGCTTGCTCCTTGTTTCCCCGTTCAACATCTATCCTTATTTCCTCTCTTCTTTGTATGGTAGTAACCCGTCCCGTCTGTGGCACTCAGAAGACCTATATATACATGTATTTGTGTTACACGTGCCTGATAGAGCTCACCAAAACTTTATTACAAAGTTCCTTCAGTGGTCTCGCAAAAGCAAAATTGACAATTATTTTATCCAAAGACAATGAATAGGAAAGTCCTGAATTGCGATAATGTTTGATTTATTGACATAAATTTGGTTCAGTATAGAACACTTGCGTAAAAAATGTCACCTTTTGAGACTAGAAAAAGAAAATTGAAATAGCAACACAAGCAATTTAATTACATAAAAGCAAACATGTCAGTAACAACAAAAAGGGAAAAAGGTAGTGTGAAAAATGAGTTTAATAGATGGTGACAAGGTCACGCATGAAATAAGTGGGAGTTTTTCAAGTCTCTTTGTTGTAGTTTATGGTCTAGAGGGTAGACTTTTTGTTTCAGGCGCCTACTAAGACATTTTCTACTACACTGGTCTGACCCATTGAGGTTGGACACAAATGCATTTAGAAATTGGGGCAGCAAAATAGAAAACTCATTTTTGGCATATGTGAGGCATCATTGTGAAATCAGGTGCTCGTCAAAATAGTCCAATCAAAGACATCTGCATACTTTGGTTTTGCTTGAGCAATTTTTATCCAATTTTTTTTCCTTTGTGGGCTGAGCAGATTGACACGACACAACTGCCTCCGTCCATTGTGAACAAAGAGCTGATGGAGTCAGAGGAGTTCCTGCGTGACCGCGACGCCTGCACCAAATACTTCAACAAGTGGTGCGAGGGACAGCAAGTGCTCTTTGTGGAACATTTACTTTCACTCATGTGCCATTATCAGCACGGCCAGATCAATGCCTTCCTCAAGCCCATGCTACAGAGAGACTTTATCTCAGCCCTACCAGGTAATTGACTACGATCGGCAGGGGATAGTGACAGTCATTGATTGAATTTCCTGTATGATTAGTTTCTTTAGGAGTAATTTCATTGTTGAAAGAATGGTGACAGTGTGAAACTGACATGTCTGTGTGTGTGTCTCTGTGTGTGTGTGTGTGGTGACAGTGTGACACTGACATGTCTGTGTGAGTGTATCTGTCTGTGTGTGTCTGTGTGTGCGTGTGTGTGTGTGGTGACAGTGTGACACTGACATGTGTGTGTGTGTGTGTGTGGCGACAGTGTGACACTGACATGTCTGTGTATGTGTGTGTGTGTGTGTGGTGACAGTGTGACACTGACATGTCTGTCTGTGTGTGTGTGTGTGTGGTGACAGTGTGACACTGACATGTATGTGTGTGTGTGTGGTGACAGTGTGACACTGACGTGTGTGTGTGGTGACAGTGTGACACTGACATGTCTGTGTGTGTGTGTGTGTGTGTGGTGACAGTGTGTGACACTGACATGTCTGTGTGTGTGTGTGCGTGTGTGTGTTTGTGTGTGTGTGGTGACAGTGTGACACTGACATGTCTGTGTGTGTGTGTGGTGACAGTGTGACACTGACATGTGTGTGTGTGTGCGTGTGTGTGTGTGTGTATATGTGTGTCTGTGTGTGTGTGTGTGGTGAGTGTGACACTGACATGTCTGTGTGTGTGTGGTGACAGTGTGACACTGACATGTCTGTGTGTGTGTGTGTGGTGACAGTGTGACAGTGTGACACTGACATGTGTGTGTGTGTGGTGACAGTGTGACACTGACATGTCTGTGTGTGGTGACAGTGTGACACTCACATGTCTGTGTGTGTGTGTGTGATGACAGTGTGACATTGACATGTCTCTGTGTGTGTGTGTGTGTGTGTGTGTGTGTGTGGTGACAGTGTGACACTGACATGTCTGTGTGTGTGGTGACACTGACATGTCTGTGTGTTTGTGTGTGTGTGTCTCTGTGTGTGTGTGTGTGTGTGTGGTGACAGTGTGACACTGACATGTGTGTGTGTGTATGTGTGTGTGGTGACAGTGTGACACTCACATGTCTGTGTGTGTGTGTGGTGACAGTGTGACACTGACATGTCTGTGTGTGTGTGTGTGTGTGTGGTGACAGTGTGTGACACTGACATGTCTGTGTGTGTGTGTGCGTGTGTGTGTTTGTGTGTGTGTGGTGACAGTGTGACACTGACATGTCTGTGTGTGTGTGTGTGGGACAGTGTGACAGTGTGACACTGACATGTGTGTGTGTGTGGTGACAGTGTGACACTGACATGTCTGTGTGTGGTGACAGTGTGACACTCACATGTCTGTGTGTGTGTGTGTGATGACAGTGTGACATTGACATGTCTCTGTGTGTGTGTGTGTGTGTGTGTGTGTGTGTGGTGACAGTGTGACACTGACATGTCTGTGTGTGTGGTGACACTGACATGTCTGTGTGTTTGTGTGTGTGTGTCTCTGTGTGTGTGTGTGTGTGTGTGGTGACAGTGTGACACTGACATGTGTGTGTGTGTGCGTGTGTGTGTGTGTGTATATGTGTGTCTGTGTGTGTGTGTGTGGTGAGTGTGACACTGACATGTCTGTGTGTGTGTGGTGACAGTGTGACACTGACATGTCTGTGTGTGTGTGGTGACAGTGTGACACTGACATGTCTGTGTGTGTGTGTGTGTCTGTGTGTGTGTGTCTGTATGTGTGTGTGTTTGTGTGTCTGTGTGTGTGTGGTGACAGTGTGACACTGACATGTCTGTATGTGTGTGTGTGTGGTGACTGTGTGACACTGACATGTCTGTGTGTGTGTGTATGTGTGTGTGTGTGTGTCTGTGTGTGTGTGGTGACAGTGTGACACTGACATGTCTGTGTGTGTGTGTGTCTGTGTGTGTGGTGACAGTGTGACACTGACATGTCTGTGTGTGTGTGTGTCTGTGTGTGTGTGGTGACAGTGTGACACTGACATGTCTGTGTGTGTGTGTGTGTGTGTGTGATGACAGTGTGACACTGACATGTCTGTGTGTGTGTGTGTGTTTGTGTGTCTGTGTGTGTGTGTGTTTGTGTGTGTGTGGTGACAGTGTGACACTGACATGTCTGTGTGTGTGTGTGTCTGTGTGTGTGGTGACAGTGTGACACTGACATGTCTGTGTGTGTGTGT